CCATATCATACTTTAACGGACAGCAAGGACATCACATACATTTGTTCCTTATGTGGCGGCAATCTATATGCAAATATTACTAATAATAATGTGTTGAAAGAAAATTTGCATTATAAGTTAATTTGCCCGCGCGGATGTACAAAACCGCAAAATAAAGAAGTAACGGAAATTTTAGATGACCAACAACTACAAGCAATGGGAGCAGAATACAACTATAGCTCATGCCAGCCTCACGATATGGTTGCAATGCATAATCACGATTTCAGATTCAATCTTACCACCGATCTCATGGCCGCGCGGACTGCGCGTTTAAAGCAACTTTTAAATACCATCGATTGTGATAATTAACGAACTTAACATAATTAAAAAATGTTCGAAAATAGCGGTCTGATTTTACATGCACTTAATATTTGAATTGCTTTTAAACCCGTTTCCTATGTATAGATTAAAACGCTAACGTATTGATTTGTATCCTAGAAGCATCTAGCTCTTATTATATGCCTTTTTGTTTTCAGTTCGTTTCGTTGAAATTATGGTAGGATATATACCACTAGCATTAGTGAGAATCTATTTTCTGGGCGTCTAACAATTTTATTCACCATCCTGTGTGGTACTTTAACAACTCTTCTAATGAAACTTCGACAAATAGAAGCTTTTTGTTTCCTGCACTTAACATTTATTTATCAATTGTACATATTGTATATATTCAAATACTATATATAAGTAGAACATAAAACAAACTCATAAATATTAAATATAATTTTTATAATTGACAAATTATAAATTAGCTTTCATAGCGCTCGATATATACTTAAAGAATTCTCTCACAACATTCTCGTTCTCTTTATGTTCCACAATGCCAATAAACTGCATGGCCACGAACAGCATTAACAGGACGACAAATGTACAAACCAACCACAGGCAAAATCTGGAAAAGTTCGGTTAGTTACACAGGCCGGATATTGTTTATATAACATTTCCAAGACAATCGTTACAAAACGTATAAAACATATTGGTAAACTTTTAATTATATAAAAAAAAATATTTTAGGTACCAAAAGTGATATTTATAGCCATTATTTAATCAATAGAGTCAATCAATAGAGTTAATAGAGATATATATTATCTAAGCATTAACCATTAAGGACTACCGTACAATCATACAACTTAAACAAATTTCGGCTTAAGAACGACAAAATACTGAAATTGGTTGGATCCATTCAAATCCACCAACAATTGTACTGGTCTATGTAGAAAGTTCTCATGATGTCTGAGAATCGAACGCTTTTTTAAACGGTAATCTTTATGCTTTGGTTTGTTTGAAAACATGTAATCTCAATTCAATCAATAAATCCGCCGTAAATATCATTTTAGCTCACATATATAGACTGTATCTAAATGCTTAGCGTCAAAACAGTTTTTAGATATTCTTACTTGCACATTCCGTGCTTGGTTTAATTTCTTGGTATCTATATTTCTTTATCACTATTCGCTTTATATTAAAATAGACATTGTTTTTTCGGCAGGCAAAAAATATAAAATATTTCAGTTAACATATTTTCGAAACATATTGCAATGCTCCCAGTAAGTTAAAAAATTATTTCCGAAAAACTTTATTTGTACATATTTATTGCGTAATATCAATAAAATGATTTTAAACGTACTCTGTGTTCTGACTTTACGCTTAATACGTCTTGATTAAAATTTAAGCATTACTTTGTAGAAAATTAGAAAAAATTTCTATAAAATACAATATGTTGTGGTAAATGAGCAGTGACTCGGAGCGTAATCTCATTTTGCTCATCTAGTTCTTTGACTAACAATATATGTATTCGCAAACATTATATGCTTTTCATTCTACTGGATCTTAGCTTCAAAACAATTGTAATCCTTTTTCCGAACAACTCACCAGAGTCTGTATCTTTTCAACCTCACCTCACCTCACCTAATGCCTCTCTTGAAATGAGAACTTCTCATCTAGTAAAGAGATATTTTTGCATATAAACTTATCTATAAAAGATGCGATCAAAGTTCGTATAAAAATTTAACGTCGATATTAACTTTATTCGCGAGGACAAGATATCGAAATTTTAAGTTTTATATGTGATGTTATGAAATACTCAACAAAATCCTTTTAATAGTATTGCTAGAAAAAGCCTTTAAAACTTACCAGGGCAGCATTTACCCTCTCCTTAATCATTCATTTTTGAATCAGAGTCAGCAATAACAACAACAATATGAGAACTGTACGAAATATGCTGAGACAGATAGTTAAGGCACATTGGCAGCAGCTGGAAGAAATATAGTTAGCAATAACATATTTAAGCAATCACTTGATGATGCATATGAATATCAGAGATGTTTTTGAAATCCATTTCAACAAAAACTATAAAATAAAAATATAAAAGAGTGATGTTGAGAAAGTCGTATAAAAAACGGCTACCACAAGGCTCTGGTGTACAATACAATAAAGATCCAAACAATTTTCGAACACTGGGTGTACGGAGTTACAGACGGTGACATAGAGAACCTGGGTTTAGCTGGAGTATATTTATATTACAATATATGTTCTTAATAAAGAGAAACGTTTTGGGTCTAGCGAGCCCAAAATTAATTGTATTTTTCGTACGCCTTAATGGCAGATGAATATTCTATAAGAAAACCCTGAGATGGAAGATATTTAAAACACCATCTCTATAACTGATCGAAATATAGACGAAGCACAAATCTATCGTAATGTCAAATGGAATAGAGTATGAGTATCCTCTACACTCATTTGTAGTTTCGCCAACTTTTGAAAATAGTTATTTACCAGCGCACAACCATTACTGAACCCTTGAGACGTTCACATAATACGCCATACATTTTTATTGCTCTTTGTTAAAATGAGTTTTATTATACGTTTAAATAACTCTTTTGATCTCAATAGTTTTTAGATATCAGCGACTAAATGTTTCAATTACAATGTGCCTTATGTATATTACACGAATGAAAAATATTTCATTAGCTTTTCAGATTTGCCTGTAAACTTCATGGTTAACTTTACGAAAAAAGTGAGGCACATGTTTCGAAAAATTACATTTCGAAAATTATATTTTACATTATTATGAATTACCCCTTAGTTGTTTCATCTAACAGCGTGTCAGAAATTAGAATAGCGGAGCACAAGAAATTAGATGAGAAAACTTCATCTACACAAATTCAAATGAAATCAAAACGCAAATCAAAAATGAACCAGCAATTGCATACTTAAAAAACTCTGTATAAACTTAGGCGCTCAAACGTTGTGTGATTTTTTCACTCGTCTTATGACAACAATATTTAATTCGCAGACGATTTATAAAATTCATGTTTGAAAACTATTAAACTTCTTCTTGAAAATCTTAATTTATTATATAGAATACCATAACCAATGCGTTTAACTCCAATAGCTTTAAATCTTTATATTTCTATTCTAATAAACATATTAATTGAATTATAACGCAATTTTAATAACTGTAATTATTCTATCTTAGAAATAACATTCGCATATCAACCTGTGAAAGGCCTCAAAATAAAGCTCATCAATTCTTGCATAATCGAGTTTTCTTTATCGGCATCTGGACTTTTGTGAAAAACAAAAGCTCCAAAGCAAATTGTTAAGAAAATTATTAAGGCGATGATCACAATGCAGGCGGTGGCACAAAACACGTTGTATCTGCAGCCGCTGAAAGAGAACGTGCAAAAAGTGTACTCATTATTGGAGAAACACTCTGAAAGTATTTATATATTGTATATATATATATATTTAAAGCAATATAAAGAATCAAGACTTTTTCCTTACCAACACATATTCTTCTGTTTGTTTTTGCCTTGTTATTTGTATTAAAGAGTTTTAGCAAATTATTCGTGTTTCTATTTGAAAATATTTGATTATTTTTACTCTAATGACGTTTTTCGGCTCCACGTTTTTTTTTGTTTTGCTCGATGTTCTAAATTATTTTTATCCAAGTTGATACTTCTTATAACTTTTGGGCATTATTAAATACTTACTTTTAAAATAATTGTCCAAAATTATTTTGTAGCGAGTAGTAACGAAAAAATGATCAAGCTTGCCAGGCTGGTACTTCGTTACTCGGTAAAACGATAGTCCCTTAATTTTATAAAATCAAAATTCACGTAAAAAACTACCGAATAACAACTAACGAATTAACAAAGCTGGTCTGAATACCCCTGTTGATATGTTACAGAGGTTCCGGTCAAAAATCCTTAGAGTTATGACGGGTTCACCATGATACATGCGTAATCAAAATATTCACAAATATCTTGACATTCCTATGGTAAAGAAATAACTAGAGGCGAAACTAGAGGACAGCAGTAAGAACTATGAACTTAAACTGCGTAATTATCCAAATCCTTTAGCTAACCTTATTACAAAACCCGCTTGAAAAGGGAAGATCTACCAGCCTTCTAAAGAGCAGCGTATCACCAAGCAGGCTCAACTAGAACTTTGAGCTTTTCTAGCTTTTATTAGATTTAAGATTTTATTATCTATTGTTAGGCTTGGAACAAGCAGATTCAATAAATAAAGATATATTAACAAAAAAAAATATTGTTTACTTAGATAAGCTTTAGGCTGTATATTGGCACATACAGTTTTGCTTAGCATAATCAATTGATATTTATCTGCACGAAGTTAAATAAAGGAAAGTAATAATTTAGTTAAGCTCTATTTCTAATTACTATTAGTATAATATGGCATACATATGTATATATATAAGCTACATACATTCATTTTTCTACAGATAACCTATGCACTAGAATTTTGAGTTAAGTCGTAGATATTGCAAAGGCAATATTATGGCCAAAACATTATCAACACTATAAACAAAATATTTATAGCATGTTGTAAATTAACTCATACATATTTGCTCACAGCAAGGTTTTAATTAAATTAACAGCGGTGTACTCGTAATTGCATAATTTTTGTATAAATTCGCAACTACAATAAAAAACAGTGAATTCTCTTGTATAAATGTTTAAAATTATTTATTTAATTTATTAAACTTAAAAAATATACAGTTTTAACAACAATAACACTGGTTGATACTAAAGTTATTCCAGAAGCCAAAAATTGGTCTCAAACCGAATTTAATTCAGTTTTAGTGTTGTTGTTGGAAGTAGTCCTTAAATGTTAAAGGCGCAGCTGTTATAAGCTGCTGCACCAATTTTTCTTGTTGACCATCGGAACTATCCTTGTGGTAATATACTGTAAAGTACACGATCAGTCCGATTATGACAGCTAATATTATGACGGAACAAAATATGCCGAGTAACATATTCAGCGCACATTCGCAGCAACTACAAAGAGAAGAGAGTAAAAATTAATTATATTATAATAAAGAGCTTAAATTAGTATATGCTCAGTATAATTTTTTTTTTTTAAATAATAAAGGCTACATGCAAAGTATGTTTTACACTATGGTCGTTCCCGAAATACGCTATCCCACAAAGCGACAATGAAACAAGTAAAAACGTCAACTTCGTTAGCACCGAAACTATTATAATCTTCACAAATACAAAATATTCCTTACAAGAACTTGATTTTGCTCGGTCAGTTTGTATGGCAATTACCATATATGCTATAGTGACTCAGGCTAAACAATTTTATCGGAGACTGCACCATTGTCTCACACAATAGCCCGTGCCAAATTTCGTGAAGTTATCTTTTTAAATGAAAAAGTTTTCACAACAAGCATTTGACTCCGGTCATTCAGTTTGTATGGCAGCCTTATGCTATAGTGGCTCCTTAAGGATGAAAGAACGTCTACAAAATTTCAGATCGATATCCCAAAAACTGAGGGACTAGTGCGCGTATATACGGACAGACGGAGACGGACATGGCTAAATCGACTTAGCTCGTCACGCTCATCATTAATATATATATATATATGGTACTTTATATCGTCTCCATAAGAGAGATTAGAGATATAATCTCTATCAGCTCGATATTCCTCTCACAATTGACATAGTCCTTACGCCGATATATCATATATTTTTACTGATCTGCGTAGACATTCTCCTCACAAAATGGAGCGAACTTTATAATGACCTTTCCCTAAGTATAGAACTTAGGAACTACACTGGCTTAGTTATAACATAAAAATGGATTAAACTTTCCAGCTAGGAAATATTCATTGCTAACACGGTTAATATAAAAAATCACCAAAGCACTTGTCGCGTATGACTCCAACTTCTGAAATGAAAAAAGTCTCAAACGATATCTCTAACACGCGACACTAAAATGTATTTGGATTTATATTCAGCAAAGGACTATAGCCTCAGCAACTTTACACAAAACTTCTTGGAGAACGTTACATATTTACCAGCACACAACCTTTGCTGTCCCCTTGAGACATGCACATAACACGCCACACATTTTTATTGCTCTTTGTTAAAACGAGTTTTATTACACGTTTAAATAAATCTTTTGATCTCAATAGTTTTTAGATATCAGCGGCTAAATGTTCCAATTACAATTATAAAGAAAAATATTTCATTAGTCTTTCAGATTTGCCTGTAAACTTCATGGTTAACTTTACGAAAAAAGTGAGGCACATGTTTCGAAACATTACATTTCGAAATTTATATTTTACATTATTATGAATTAACCCTTAGTTAAACAATCTAGGCGTGTCAGAAATTAGAATAACGGAGCACAGCGCATTAAATGAGAAAACTTCATCTACACAAATTGAAGAGAAATCAAAACTCAAATCAAAAATCAAAAAAAAAAAAACTCTGTATAAACTTAGGCGCTCAAACGCTGTGTGATTATTTCACTTGTATTATGATAAAAATATTAAATTCCCAGATGATTAATAAAATGCATGTTTGAAAACTATTAAACCTATGCTCGGAAATCTTAATTTATTATATAGGAACGAACGTTCTTGGAGAACGTTACATATGTACAAGTATATAGTAATAATTTCTAGGAATAAATTTCCGCTGCGTAAAACCTATTGCCTTTGTTTACAGTTGTACTTAAACTTTTCAGATGAAATTAGTATGAAACGAAACTATGATTAATTTATTTCATATTTAGTTGAAATGTTATCTTAAACTAATTAAGTGTAATATGAAATGCAGTAATAATTTTTATAATTTTATGCAAGTCGAGTACATCTGGGATCTCTCTTGCATATATTTCATATGTATATGTAAATTAAATATTTATCTATACATTGCTAATTACCTACTTCACCCGTTATTTACACTTTACAATGCATTCGCTATCTAACAAATGATAACTTTTATATTGCTTAAACAGTTTGAGTGAGCGACTCTGTGGTTTTCACGTGCTCAGCGATTATAAAGTGCTTGTTAAGCGGTGTATATTTCAACAAAATATTTTCAAAAGTTTCTGCTATAACTAACCAATATTACGAGATTCATTTGGTAGGCACATAATATAATGGATGACAGTTAATAAATTTGACAATCAAATGACAGCTAGTATTGCAAGTTTTAGCTAGCTTAAAATGCATGCAAATGGTGGGACTTGTACAAGTATAACCTTTAGAAATATTATTATTAGTATTACGAGAAAACCAATTGGATTGGTGTTTTTCAAACCCACAATAAATTTCAAACAATTGCCTCGACCTAGCTTTTAATTACTGTCACAACAACGCACCGTAGAGGTTTTATAATAAAAGAATGAGATAGAGAGTTTGTCGTCTACGCTTAACACTCAACGCTAGCAGTTCCATTAGTACTTTGGAGAAGGCATCAAAAATATCAAATTCAAACATTCTGGGTCTTAGCACCACGACTTAGAAAAACTGTCTATTTGTTCTTAAAGACTGGGGTTGAGCTAAACAAGAGCCCTATTAAGGTGCTGAACAAGATGCAGATAGTTTTTTAATTTTGGCAACGCCTTTTTCCGAGCTTAATGTGTATTCTCAAGTAATTCTAACTGATATTAGCTTAAAATGTGATACACATTTAGAATTTTTCTTAAACTTATTATCAAATAGCAATTATTTTTAAGTACTTTACCTCCAAAATGCATAGACTACAAGCATATATTTACTATAGGAGTTGAAACAAGGTAAGTTAAAAGTCGTACTACACCTTTTCTTTAGGGTTACATGGGTTTCGCCGAGCATAAATCGTCCTATTTTCATGATTTTTTTTGTGTTTAAAAAAATAAATGTTTTATTAAAACTTTTTATTATTTCGAAAATACATATTTGATAAATATTATTAAAGCCTAGTGTAATCCTCTCGTGTACTTTAATTATTTATATGTTAGTTCGTTCGATATCGGTGAATCACTGGTCGGCGTTTAACGGTTATGTAAATCGTTTTTTCCTTTCCGTAAGTGCGTGAAACACGTTATTTCGTTAGCAAACACAAACCGCAACTGTCGTGACACTCGAGTGTTATTAGCTATTTTTCCCAATAGAAAAACTTAACCCGTGCGTGGCACATACATAGATAGGAGACCACAAATGTTTTATTATCGGGAAATACGTGCACTTAATAATAATTATCTTTATCACTAGTCGTGTGTAACATGACTCAATGTTTGTCGTACTTGAAACGATACAGTGTCTATCACCTAAGGGTTAAGCATTCAACAGGTTGGACGTGACACATTATGTTATCAGTGTCAATATCGTAATGAGACATATTTATGTGTTGATAAAAATAAGTATTTGTTACCGATATATGTACCTATGAAGAACGATAGTTATATTTTCTTATCACTATTGATTGGCTGCGATTTTTTGTTTAGTCCAACGATTAACCTGTGTGGTTGTAATTTTCAAAAGCACACACTTCAAATTCAAGGGATTCACCAGAAAATCAACAAATTTTATGGCTATGTATGTTCGGTGGACAAGGTAAACTTAACCGCTACCGTAATCATTTTTTTTAATGTAGATTAAAAAATTGTATACTTCTCGAGAAGCGTTTGCTCAAATATTCACTGCATTTTATTATAAGAATTCACTTGCACTGACATCTCAATTAACCACCTGAGTATGCGCACATAGCTTTTTCTGCTCTCTTAAATTCTTATAGTACTCAAATTTCTTATTTGCATAATTTTAATTGCAAAAATTTTGTCGAGTTCATTTCTGTTTCCCTTCTCATTTCGAATACGCTATTACTATTAAACTCAGTGTTGTTTTATAGCAAATATTACAAAACTATTTGAATTTCCTATGAGATTAAATCAATTGAGATTAAAAAGATTAAAAGCTCACTGGAATTAGAAAAGAAGAGGAGAATGCTAAGAGGTGGTTGTAAAAAAAGTGTTGTTGTTAAAAGTGAGCTTATAACGGCACTTCGAGGCAATTAAAATTGTGCAGTCACATTTTTGGAGTTGCAAAAATAAATAAGAAGTTAGAACTTTTTTATAATAAAGTAGAAAATTTAAGCAAATAAAAAAAATAATAATAATGATAAAATAGTGAAAAAATAACTGTTTAATCAAGCATTAAAAAATTAAAATTTTTTGGTTTAAGTAAATGAAACGCTACAGTAAAAAAAGATGAAAAGTTAAAGTAGAAATGAAGCCGTACACGCCGAACAGTATCCATGAGCCTCTTAAAGGCCTAGCTCTGTCGTCAGACAGCCACTCTACCTACCTACCTATATTTTTGTGTTTGTATTAGTGTATCTGGGCTTACTGGTGAAGCTCCTGTCTTTTTAATTACAACAAAATCGCATTACGTCGCTATAGTTAATATGGTAACCCTCTAATAAAAAATATGGTAGGTAGAAAAAACGACTTTGGATTTAATATGTATATAAGTATAATTATTAATTATTAAATTAAACGTTTATTTTTTTATTATAAAAATGTACTCTTCATATAATTTATTTATTATAATACCACTTTATATATTAAATATATGATAGCTATAATCACATTTTATGACTGTATTTATGATTTTATTCCGAAATCATAAAATGACAAATGCATTACGATTTTTATGTCAAAATCTTAAATAATCAAATAACCATATTTCCAGAATTTTATAATCTTCTGCAGAAAAATTATAATACGCCTATAAATTTATTAAAAAATATTTTAGTTTGCGTGAAATCGTTTTGAATTACATTCTCTGTTAACAAGCTACCGGTATATGTAATTCAAAAAATGTAAAAAAAGGCGTTAAATATGTTTCTACATAATTAACTTATTAAGCAATGAAAGTCTAGCACGACTTTTCTTCTTGTTCGGTCTACCAGTTAGAGACTGTCTTTCACTCAATGGATCTTCCGGCTCCAAAGGTATTGTAGAAGTTCTAGTTTCGATCTTATGAAAGTGCACACATTCAATAAATTGCAAGTATCTTAATTTGTTTCGCAATTCTTCAATTGTCTTCAATACTTTTGGAACATCAGTATGTAACGCCAACTGCTGCTCATGCTTCGGTTTTACGTTGTTATGTAAGCTCTTCTCACTAATGGAACTGTGAATGCTTATACTATCATCTGAGAATTTGTTGCTCAAAACTGCATTATGCATTGCCATTATAGTTGTGTAATATTGAGGATTGTATGTAAAGAAAAAATTAAAAATATTGCGAGCTCTCGTACGAGTGTAGTCATTCAAAGCTACATACGAACTGATCGTACTCGGCAGTGTCCGATATTTACACTTTACATTAAAGAAGATCCAGGCGATTTAAGTACTAGTAACTAGTAGCAGGTAAGAACATTGTCCTTTAATAAAATAAATATGTACATACACCACAAAAAGGTTTCCACTAGTGTGCAAATAAAGTGCATACGCTTTCCTTTAAACATTGTTAGCAGTACATAATTTTATAAGTACCTGTCCAAACTATAACATATTAAAACGTACCCAAATTTCATAGTAAAAATGTAATAAAAGGTAAAAAAACAACAAATATGCTTTAGAATTTTTTTTGTGCCTTTTCAAAAGAACTTATCAATAGACATTAATTCACTCTATATCCATTGACTTTCAGCTTAAGGGGTTACAGGGGTTTCGTTGAGCAAAAAACACCCTATTTTCAATTTTTTTTTTTATAAAAAATGAAATAGTTTATTCAAACTTTTTTTTATTCCGCAGATACATACTTGCTAAAGATTTTGTGAGTTTTGGAAGGGAAATTATAAAAAACTGGGTCATTACGACGTCATTTCTGGCAGTCCCTCGGAAAAAAGGTGCTTCCGCGTTCGCAGCAGAATTTCTGACATTATTATTAAAAGTAATAAGGAAAAAAATACGTTTTTAAACTAAGATCAGTAACTAAATTTTAGGATGAGAAAAAACAAACAAAGTGAATATTGTATTTTTGCAGACGTTTTTATAAAAACATGCAAATTTAATTTAATCGGTTAAGTAGCTCGTGAGAAATCTTGACAACCGACTTTGAAAACACAGCTTCGGGAAAAACGCATATAAAGTTTTAGGTGATATCGATCAAAGCTGTAAGTTGAATATTTTCAATTTGCTTTTTTGCATAATATTTTTATAAAGACTTGCTTTGCATGCACTTAATATTTGAATTGCTTTTAAACCCGTTTCCTATGTATAGATTAAAACGCTAACGTATTGATTTGTATCCTAGAAGCATCTATCTCTTATTATATGCCTTTTTGTTTTCAGTTCGTTTCGTTGAAATTATGGTAGGATATATACCACTAGCATTAGTGAGAATCTATTTTCTGGGCGTCTAACAATTTTATTCACCATCCTGTGTTGTATTTTAACAACTCTTCTAATGAACCTTCGACAAATAGAGGCTTTTTGTTTCATGCACTTAACATTTATTTATCAATTGTACATATTGTATATATTCATATACTATATATAAGTAGAACATAAAACAAACTCATAAATATTAAATATAATTTTTATATTTGACAAATTATAAATAAGCTTTCATAGCGCTCGATATATACTTAAAGAATTCTCTCACAACATTCTCGTTCTCTTTATGTTCCACAATGCCAATAAACTGCATGGCCACGAACAGCATTAACAGGACGACAAATGTACAAACCAACCACAGGCAAAATCTGGAAAAGTTCGGTTAGTTACACAGGCCGGATATTGTTTATATAACATTTCCAAGACAATCGTTACAAAACGTATAAAACATATTGGTAAACTTTTAATTATATAAAAAAAAATATTTTAGGTACCAAAAGTGATATTTATAGCCATTATTTAATCCATAGAGTCAATCAATAGAGTTAATAGAGATATATATTATCTAAGCATTAACCATTAAGGACTACCGTACAATCATACAACTTAAACAAATTTCGGCTTAAGAACGACAAAATACTGAAATTGGTTGGATCCATTCAAATCCACCAACAATTGTACTAGTCTATGTAGAAAGTTCTCATGATGTCTGAGAATCGAACGCTTTTTTAAACGGTAATCTTTATGCTTTGGTTTGTTTGAGCATATGTACTCTTTATGCTTTGGTTTGTTTGAGCATATGTAATCTCAATTCAATCAATAAATCCGCCGTAAATATCATTTTAGCTCACTTATATAGACTGTATCTAAATGCTTAGCGTCAAAACAGTTTTTAGATATTCTTACTTGCACATTCCGTGCTTGGTTTAATTTCTTGGTATCTATATTTCTTTATCACTATTCGCTTTATATTAAAATAGACATTGTTTTTTCGGCAGGCAAAAAATATAAAATATTTCAGTTTACATATTTTCGAAACATATTGCAATGCTCCCAGTAAGTTAAAAAATGATTTCCGAAAAACTTTATTTGTACATATTTATTGCGTAATATCAATAAAATGATTTTAAACGTACTCTGTGTTCTGACTTTACGCTTAATACGTCTTGATTAAAATTTAAGCATTACTTTGTAGAAAATTAGAAAAAATTTCTATAAAATACAATATGTTGTGGTAAATGAGCAGTGACTCGGAGCGTAATCTCATTTTGCTCATCTAGTTCTTTGACTAACAATATATGTATTCGCAAACATTATATGCCTTTTATTCTACTGGATCTTAGCTTCAAAACAATTGTAATCCTTTTCCTAACAACTCACCAGAGTCTGTATCTTTTCAACCTCACCTCACCTCACCTAATGCCTCTCTTGAAATGAGAACTTCTCATCTAGTAAGGACGTCGCTAAGAGATATTTTTGCATATAAACTTATCTATAAAAGATGCGATCAAAGTTCGTATAAAAATTTAACGTCGATATTAACTTTATTCGCGAGGACAAGATATCGAAATTTTAAGTTTTATATGTGATGTTATCAAATACTCAACAAAATCCTTTTAATAGTATTGCTACAAAAAGCCTTTAAAATTTACCAAGGCAGCATTTACCCTCTCCTCAATCATTCATTTTTGAATCAGAGTCAGCAATAACAACAACAATATGAGAAATGTACGAAATATGCTGAGACCGATAGTTAAGGCACATTGGCAGCAGCTGGAAGAAGTATAGTTAGCAATAAAATATTTAAGCAATCGTTTGATGATGCATATGAATATTAGAGATGTTTTTGAAATCCATTTCAACAAAAACTATAAAATAAAAATATAAAAGAGTGATGTTGAGAAAGTCGTATAAAAAACGGCCACCACAAGGCTCTGGTGTACAATACAATAAAGATCCAAACAATTTTCGAACACTGGGTGTACGGAGTTACAGACGGTGACATAGAGAACCTGGGTTTAGCTGGAGTATATTTATATTACAATATATGTTCTTAATAAAGAGAAACGTTTTGGGTCTAGCGAGCCCAAAATTAATTGTATTTTTCGTACGCCTTAATGGCAGAGGAATATTCTATAAGAAAACCCTGAGATGGAAGATATTTAAAACACCGATCGAAATATAGACGAAGCACAAGTCTATCGTAATGTCAAATGGAATAGAGTATGAGTATCCTCTACACTCATTCCTAGTTTCGCCAACTTTTGAAAATAGTTATTTACCAGCGCACAACCATTACTGAACCCTTGAGACGTTCACATAATACGCCACACATTTTTATTGCTCTTTGTTAAAATGAGTTTAATTATACGTTTAAATAACTCTTTTGATCTCAATAGTTTTAGATATCAGCGACTAAATGTTCCAATTACAATGTGCCTTATGTATATTACACGAATGAAAAATATTTCATTAGCTTTTCAGATTTGCCTGTAAACTTCATGGTTAACTTTACGAAAAAAGTGAGGCACATGTTTCGAAAAATTATATTTTACATTATTATGAATTACCCCTTAGTTGATTCATCTAACAGCGAGTCAGAAATTAGAATAACGGAGCACAAGAAATTAGATGAGAAAACTTCATCTACACAAATTCAAATGAAATCAAAACGCAAATCAAAAATGAACCAGCAATTGCATATTTAAAAAACTCTGTATAAACTTAGGCGCTCAAACGCTGTGTGATTTTTTCACTCGTCTTATGACAACAATATTTAATTCGCAGACGATTTATAAAATTCATGTTTGAAAACTATTAAACTTCTTCTTGAAAATCTTAATTTATTATATAGAATACCATAACCAATGCGTTTAACTCCAATAGCTTTAAATCTTTATATTTCTATTCTAATAAACATATTAATTGAATTATAACGCAATTTTAATAACTGTAATTATTCTATCTTAGAAATAACATTCGCATATCAACCTGTGAAAGGCCTCAAAATAAAGCTCATCAATTCTTGCATAATCGAGTTTTCTTTATCGGCATCTGGACTTTTGTGAAAAACAAAAGCTCCAAAGCAAATTGTTAAGAAAATTATTAAGGCGATGATCACAATGCAGGCGGTGGCACAAAACACGTTGTATCTGCAGCCGCTGAAAGAGAACGTGCAAAAAGTGTACTCATTATTGGAGAAACACTCTGAAAGTATTATATATATATTTTAAGCAATATAAAGAATCAAGACTTTGTCCTTACCAACACATATTCTTCTGTTTGTTTTTGCCTTGTTGTTTGTATTAAAGAGTTTTAGCAAATTATTCGTGTTTCTATTTGAAAATATTTTATTATTTTTACTCTAATGACGTTTTTCGGCTCCACGTTTTTTTTTGTTTTGCTCGATGTTCTAAATTATTTTTATCCAAGTTGATACTTCTTATAACTTTTGGGCATTAAATACTTTCTTTTAAAAAAATTGTCTAAAATTATTTTGTAGCGAGTAGTAACGAAAAAATGATCAAGCTTGCCAGGCTGTTACTTCGTTACTCGGTAAAACGATAGTCCCTTAATTTTATAAAATCAAAATTCACGTAAAAAACTACCGAATAACAACTAACGAATTAACAAAGCTGGTCTGAATACCCCTGTTGATATATTACACAGGTTCCAGTCAAAAATCCTTAGAGTTATGACGGGTTCACCATGATACATGCGTAATCAAAATATTCACAAATATCTTGACATTCCTATGGTAAAGAAATAACTAGAGGCGAAACTAGAGGACAGCAGTAAGAACTATGAACTTAAACTGCGTAATTATCCAAATCCTTTAGCTAACCTTATTACAAAACCCGCTTGAAAAAGGAAGATCTACCAGCCTTCTAAAGAGCAGCGTATTACCAAGCAGGCTCAACTAGAACCTTGAGCTTTTCTAGCTTTTATTAGATTTAAGATTTTATTAACAAAAAAAAAATATTGTTTACTTAGATAAGCTTTAGGCTGTATATTGGCACATACAGTTTTGCTTAGCATAATCAATTGATATTTATCTGCACGAAGTTAAATAAAGGAAAGTAATAATTTAGTTAAGCACTATTTCTAATTACTATTAGTATAATATGGCATACATATGTATATATATAAGCTACATACATTCATTTTTCTACAGATAACCTATGCACTAGAATTTTGAGTTAAGTCGTAGATATTGCAAAGGCAATATTATGGCCAAAACATTATCAACACTATAAACAAAATATTTATAGCATGTTGTAAATTAACTCATACATATTTGCTCACAGCAAGGTTTTAATTAAATTAACAGCGGTGTACTCGTAATTGCATAATTTTTGTATAAATTCGCAACTACAATAAAAAACAGTGAATTCTCTTGTATAAATGTTTAAAATTATTTATTTAATTTATTAAACTTAAAAAATATACAGTTTTAACAACAATAACACTGGTTGATACTAAAGTTATTCCAGAAGCCAAAAATTGGTCTCAAACCGAATTTAATTCAGTTTTAGTGTTGTTGTTGGAAGTAGTCCTTAAATGTTAAAGGCGCAGCTGTTATAAGCTGCTGCACCAATTTTTCTTGTTGACCATCGGAACTATCCTTGTGGTAATATACTGTAAAGTACACGATCAGTCCGATTATGACAGCTAATATTATGACGGAACAAAATATGCCGAGTAACATATTCAGCGCACATTCGCAGCAACTACAAAGAGAAGAGAGTAAAAATTAATTATATTATAATAAAGAGCTTAAATTAGTATATGCTCAGTATAATTTTTTTTTTTTAAATAATAAAGGCTACATGCAAAGTATGTTTTACACTATGGTCGTTCCCGAAATACGCTATCCCACAAAGCGACAATGAAACAAGTAAAAACGTCAACTTCGTTAGCACCGAAACTATTATAATCTTCACAAATACAAAATATTCCTTACAAGAACTTGATTTTGCTCGGTCAGTTTGTATGGCAATTACCATATATGCTATAGTGACTCAGGCTAAACAATTTTATCGGAGACTGCACCATTGTCTCACACAATAGCCCGTGCCAAATTTCGTGAAGTTATCTTTTTAAATGAAAAAGTTTTCACAACAAGCATTTGACTCCGGTCATTCAGTTTGTATGGCAGCCTTATGCTATAGTGGCTCCTTAAGGATGAAAGAACGTCTACAAAATTTCAGATCGATATCCCAAAAACTGAGGGACTAGTGCGCGTATATACGGACAGACGGAGACGGACATGGCTAAATCGACTTAGCTCGTCACGCTCATCATTAATATATATATATATATGGTACTTTATATCGTCTCCATAAGAGAGATTAGAGATATAATCTCTATCAGCTCGATATTCCTCTCACAATTGACATAGTCCTTACGCCGATATATCATATATTTTTACTGATCTGCGTAGACATTCTCCTCACAAAATGGAGCGAACTTTATAATGACCTTTCCCTAAGTATAGAACTTAGGAACTACACTGGCTTAGTTATAACATAAAAATGGATTAAACTTTCCAGCTAGGAAATATTCATTGCTAACACGGTTAATATAAAAAATCACCAAAGCACTTGTCGCGTATGACTCCAACTTCTGAAATGAAAAAAGTCTCAAACGATATCTCTAACACGCGACACTAAAATGTATTTGGATTTATATTCAGCAAAGGACTATAGCCTCAGCAACTTTACACAAAACTTCTTGGAGAACGTTACATATTTACCAGCACACAACCTTTGCTGTCCCCTTGAGACATGCACATAACACGCCACACATTTTTATTGCTCTTTGTTAAAACGAGTTTTATTACACGTTTAAATAAATCTTTTGATCTCAATAGTTTTTAGATATCAGCGGCTAAATGTTCCAATTACAATTATAAAGAAAAATATTTCATTAGTCTTTCAGATTTGCCTGTAAACTTCATGGTTAACTTTACGAAAAAAGTGAAGCACATGTTTCGAAACATTACATTTCGAAATTTATATTTTACATTATTATGAATTAACCCTTAGTTAAACAATCTGCGTGCAGAAATTAGAATAACGGAGCACAGCATTAAATGAAAACTTCATCTACACAAAGAATGAAATCAAACTCAAATCAAAAACTCTGTATAAACTTAGGCGCTCCAAACGCGCTGTGTGATTATTTCACTTGTAGTATGATAAAAATATTAAATTCTCAGATGATTAATAAAATGCATGTTTGAAAACTATAAACCTATGCTCGGAAATCTTAATTTATTATAGGAACGAACGTTCTTGGAGAACGTTACATATGTACAGTATATAGTAATAATTTCTAGAATAAATTTCGCTGCGTAAACCTATTGCCTTGTTTACAGTTGTACAGATGAAATTAGTATGAAACGAAACTATGATTAATTTATTTCATATTTAGTTGAAATGTTATCTTAAACTAATTAAGTGTAATATGAAGAGTAATAATTTTGTAATTTTATGCAAGTCAGTACATCTGGGATCTCTCTTGCATATATTTCATATGTATATTAAATTAAATATTTATCTATTTACTAATTACCTACTTCACCGTTATTTACACTTTACAATGCATTCGCTATCTAACAAATGATAACTTTTATATCGCTTAAACAGTTTAGTGAGCGACTCTGTGATTTTCACTTGCTCCGATTATAAAGTGCTTGTTAAGCGTGTCTATTGCAACACAATATTTTCAAAAGTTTCTGCTATAACTAACCAATATTACGAGATTGATTTGGTAGGCACATAATGTAAGGTTGACAGTTAATAAATTTGACAACCAAATGACAGCTAGTATTGCAAGTTTTAGCTAGCTTAAAATGGAAATGGAAGGGACTTGTACAAGTATAACCTTTAGAAATATTATTATTAGTATTACTGTAAAAATATATAAACATTTTATTATAATTTTATATGTGAGTTCGCCGATTCGAAGATTATTAGAATACCCTGATATGGAAGTTGAATACGATAACGAAGTAATTTTTGGTGGATATATGAGTGGCTGCTGTCGAATATTTTTATTCAAAAGTAGTACATATTTACCGTTATGCCTAGAAATGTAGATCATATACTGATCATATACCCATTATCTATTATACTTCTGAAATTTTTTTTATTAAAATACCGAACAAGTAACTTACTTCAGACTCGAACTCAATTAAGTTCAATACATTAAAAACCGTCGAGAAAACCAATTGGATTGGTGTTTTTCAAACCCACAATAAATTTTAAACAATTGCCTCATAGCTTTTAACTACTGTCACAACAACGCACCGTAGAGGTTTTATAATAAAAGAGCGAGATAGAGAGTTTATCGTTTACGCTTAACACTCAACGCTGCAAGTTCCATTATACTTTGGAGAGGCATCAAAATATCAAATTCAAACATTCTGTCTTAGCACCACGACTTAGAAAAACTGTCTATTTGTTCTTAAAGACTGGGTTGAGCTAAACGAGACCTAATAGTGCTGAACAAGATGCAGATAGTTTTTAATTTTGACATACTTTCCAGGCAATGTGTATTCAGTAATTCTAACTGATATTAGCTTAAATGTGATACAATTTAAAATTTTCGCTTATAAACTATTATTAGTTCTTTTCAGAACTTATATCTAATCATATTTCTTCATGTTATATACTTAAAAACACTTACCAACAAAACAGTTTGCTGGACATTTAGACACTCCATAAACAGTTCACATTTTGAATGTTTGTGTTTAAAAATAATGCAAAATAATTCTACAAATTAGTACCTAAATTTTTATTTAAATTTATTAAAACCTAGTGTAATCCTCTCGTGCACTTTAATTATTTTTATTCGTCGATTGTGAATCACTGTCGGCGTTTAAGTTATGTAAATCGTTTTTCCTTTCCGTAAGTGCGTGAAACACGTTATTTCGTTAGCAAACACAAACCCAACTGTCTTGACACTCGAGTGTTATTACTATTTTCCCAATACAAAAACTTAACCCGTGCGTACATACATAGATAGGAGACCCCAAATGTTTTTATTATCGGGAAATACTTGCATAATAATAATTATCTTTATCACTAGTCGTGTGTAACATGACTCAATGATTTCGTACTTGAAATGATACAGCATCTAAGTTAAGCATTCAACAAGTTGGACGTCACACATATGTTATCAGTGTCAATATCGTAATGAAACGTATTCATGTGTTGATAAAAATAAGTATTTGTTACCGATATATGTACCTATGAAGGACGATAGTTATATTTTTTTATCACTATTGATTGGCTGCGATTTTTTGTTTAGTTCAATGATTAACCTGTGTAGTTGTAATTTTCAAAAACACACACTTCAAGTTCAAGGGATTCACCAGAAAATCAACAAATTTTATGACTATGTATGTTCGGTGGACAAGGTAAACTTACCCGCTACCGTAATCTTTTTTTTTTAATGTAGGTTAAACAATTTTTTTCGTTTTCCTATAGCTTATATAGGAATATTAAAAATTCAGCTTTCATAATTAACGGTAATTACTATAATTTTCCCATAGAATCTTTTACCTTGGCAACCTTAACGCGTCAACGCGGAGGCAACTGTTTTCCGAGGGACTGCCGCAAATGTTGTCGTCATGGCCGAGTTTTGAATATTTTCTTTTAAAAATTGCAAAAAATCTTTGTAAGATATGTATCTTTGGAATACTAAATAGTTTAAATAAAATATTTCGTTTTTTTAAATGAAAATTATTGAAAAGAAAACAGTTTTTTGCTCGACAAAATCCATGTAATCCCTTAATATCTGAGTTTACCGATGAAAAAGTTTTACTTATGTATCTATCAAGGCTTAGTCATTAGTATCCAACCTTTAAAGGTTAATTTAGGAGACTAATGACTAAGCCTGAACCCTAGGCAGGTTGACAGGTTTGACAGGTTGTTTGGTCCATAAAAACAGTATCAAACTTTATTCCAGAGAACGTTTAAATGTTGTTCAAACTATTGAAATTACTTCACGACTAAAATTCATGAAGGTCAGCATTCGTCTTAGTTGTATTTCCTTCCCTTAATCTTTCTCTTTTAAATATATATATTTAACGAGGTAGTAGTATAGTTCGGCAATATAGCGCTCACATATGCTCAGCTGCATGTACTTAAACTTAAGCTTTGAAGTGATCGTTTTGGAATCGCTCATAAGATTTTTATGTATAAATAAGACATTCCTAAATCTATAGAACAATGTGATACCACAGCAATTCTTATGAGCTATGTAGCTCATTCTCATGACGTCGAAAATAGCTCCAAGTCATACCTAATATGACGAACCTATTACAGACATACTCGTATGTATGTACTAATATATATAATATGTAGGTGTATATAAATTCCAGCTAAAAATATTAGCTTTTCGCTTTAAATTGTAATATTTAGATTACTTCAATAGTTAACATCTGGCAGGAAATCGGCGTTAAGGCATTTTTATCTACATATATATACATTGCGGTGGAGCGAAAAAAATTATAACTTTTTTTGCTTAGCCTGAGGATCAAATTTGTAGATTATAAAAAAATTAAACTTTTGAAAAAAAAGTCCAATAATGACCACATAAAATTTTTTTAAGTTGATAACTTTTCCTTGTCCAGAAAGAGGACTGTCCACGGCTTCTAGAAAACTTATCAAAATAGATGTTATAAAATTTTTATTTTGCTTCTAGACCACTTATCAAAATTTGTTTACGAAATAAAAATTTTAACTCGAAATTTACTTTAAAGGTAAAGCCTCTAGATGTTAAAAAATTTATATTTTTTTTTCCAAAAAATATTTTTTTATATACTACAAACTTTACCCTCAGCCTAACAAAAAAAAATTTTTTTTCGCTCCACTCTGATATACATATGTATGTACATATATACTTTACGACTGTATGTATGTACATACAGTATGTCGCTACAGCGTAATTAGCAAATTTTTGAACAGCCAATGTCAAAAGAATCCTATGAGTCATCAAAGCAAAAAATACAATCATACTACTAGTAAGGTTTTCGGTATTAACCCAAATGTTCTTTTATCAATATTGGTGATAAGAAAATGTTGGCTTATTTATTTTATAAGCTTATTCGCCAATATACTCGAAACTGAACCAGTTCTCTACTTATAAGCTACAGACTACCGCTTTTTTTTTTTTTGCAGACTGAAGATAAGTATATATGAGGATGTTGTTCATAATCTGATAACATATATATCTTAAGTAGGAGGTTACAACTTCGGAGTCTTTACTTCCTCAAGAGTTAAACTTCTTGACCCAGTGACATTATTACAAAACGTTTTAAAATCGTTTTGGCGACAATATTGCTCAATATGGTTTGGTCGAACTTAAATCAATCTGCATAAAACCGGATGTAGCGGTAGTCTGTTTGGTCGTAATATTTATGAAAGGAAGTGCTATGAGTTTTTCACTTTCTCTGCAATTATAGACTTTGACTAAAGCACGCCATTTATTCAAACGAGAGAGTGGAAGAGAGTTTTTTTTATTAACTAATGAGTCCAATATAAGTCGGTGGTTTATTTTACGGTTTTTAAGGTTACTGCTACAATATTATTTCTGGTACAAGTATATGCAGAGAAGATGGAATTATAATGTGGCTGTTCTGCTGTCTATATCAGCGGCATATAAAACAGGCTTAAAGCGGGCTGATTCCACTTTTTTCAGCGCTAATCTTATAATCTATGCGCACTTCTTAAGGACGAGTATATGGGAGACCTCTTCTTTTATCTTTTATAAGGTGTTCGTCTTCATGTTGTATGGGTATTTGCATTGATACCTGCACTCAGC